GGAAATTGTCCTTTAGTAGGCTCCATTGAACACACTGAGATTTATTACCAAACTGAGATTTATTACCAAATAAACATGTATACGCTTACATTTCTAATCACATTTATTATAGAGTAAGCTGCATTAAACTCAACAAAACATATTCCGAAGGAAAAATTTCAGAGTTTATGGCCCAGCACCATTCTAAACCATAGTAAGCCAAATGCCAGAGCATGTTTCAAGAATGATCTATCATGCAGTTTACATATATATCCTCACTAGCAATACACTTCAATTACATCAGATCAGTCTACTCTATCCTATTAAACATTCTTATATTCAAACACAAGATATTTCTTTACATATCGTTTTACGTATCATTTTATGCATATGTAGTACTGTTTAATTGGACTCATCTGAGTTTTACAGGATGTTTTTCCAATAAATAAACAAACGTATTTAACAATTTAAAAATGATAAAGATATTAATGCTGAAGCAATTGCGAACATTAATAATTTGTTGAACTGAAACAATCAGTATAAACCAAATCACCCAGTGATTGTTAGAATGCTAGATAAGTGGGATTATATCTTGTTGGAATCACTTGAGAACAAAGCAGATTGATTTGCACGGCTAAGGAAAACAGCATTTCAAAATCTAATAACTATCAATTTCCTTTCTTCCTTAAGCATGATACTGGATTCTCTGGCTTTGAAATCAGGTATTTGAGGAGTATTATCCTTTCTTATTCCCCAAAACTTAGCAATAAATTCAAGCCAGCCCAATTCTTATCACCCACCAATCTTGAAATATAGAAAAAAAACACTCTAAGAGACATTTAGTGTGCCTGTAATCTGCCTAATTATCTAACTAAAATCTAACTAAAAAGTGCAACACTCCCCATTTACTGTCTGTTGCAATAGGTTTTGCCACTGGGGGAGACTGCAGGCTTAACAAGAACTCTTCTGCTCAGCTTATTAAAACCTGAGGCCAGTGGCACCCAAAAGAAGCCGTAAAGAAACCACCATGTTTAGATGTGGTACAAAAGATACAATTTAGTACTTGCATCACATCGCCTGACACATAAATGCAAATGGCTTTGTTTGTGTCATGAGACACTCACCATAATTTGCACCCACTCCCAGCAGCACCTGACATTTTTGGCATATACTCAGCACTGAGTCAACCCTTTCCTAATAATTTCATATCATGAGCCAAATGTCTACAAAGCACAGAAAGCTGTACTGAAAACTATACAGCATTTCAAATGTTGGAGACATTGTGACTCTGCTTGTACTATTTTATCTGCTACGAACATATAGCAGTACAAGAGTTTTGGAGTACAGGTGGTCCTTACAACTATTCATTTAGCAACTGTTCAAAATTACAAATGTACTGAAAAAAGTGACTTACAACCGGTCTTCATGCTTACAAACGTTGCAGTATCCCTGTGGTCACCTTATCAAAAATCAGTTACTACGCAACGGGTGTGTATTTATGATGGTTGCAGCATCTGGGGATCATATGATCATATTTGCCACCAACTTCCAACAAAGTCAATGCAGGAAGTTGGTTTTGCTTAATGATCACACAATTTGCTTAACAACTGATGGTTCCCTTAACAGTCCTGGCAAAACTGGGCACAACTCACTTAACAACCCTGTTGCTTAGCAATAGAAATTTTGGTTCCAACTGTGGTGGTAAATCGAGGATTTTTTTATTTTAAAAGAAAAATGAGTAAGAACTGAAGTTGCCAGTGTCTCAGGAGGCAAAGATGCTTCTGCATCTCTCAGAACCAGATAGTTCACTACATGTTCTTAATATTTCTGTTTGCTGTTCGTTACTGGCAATAAAAGTGTTATGGATTAGAAAACTGAAGCACTGGTAATCCTCGACTTACAATTGATCCCAAGATTTCTGTTGCTTAGCGACATAGTTGTTAAGTGAGTTTTGCTTCATTTTGCAACCTTTCTTGGCACATATAAGTAAATCACTGCATTGTTAAGTTAGTAATATGGTTGTAAAGAGAACCTGGCTTCCCCACTGACTTTGTCAAAGGGTCGCAAAAAGTGATCACATGATGCAACGGTCATAAAGGAGCCAATAGCCAAGCATCCGAATTTTCATCATGTGACAATGGGGATGCTTCAACAGTCATAAGTCACTTTTTTCAGTGCCATTGTGGCTTCAAACAGTCCCTAAACAAAAAGCTTATAAATCGAGGACTATCTGTTATTTTCTATTTCATCTACTTATTGAAACTAATATAATACATTCTGGAAAAGTGTGGATATATCTAAATTCAGTTTGTGAAAAATAAAATCCTGAAGTGGTTCTCCTTCCCATAACATCTTCTAGAGAGGAGAAAGAATCTGCCATCCCCATATGATAGAAATTCATATTAAATTTTGTATACATTTTTATTTGGATGGTTTTGGTTTTGTTTAGTATCTTTATGCTGTGTTGATAGATGAGTTTCCCAAATGCCTCTTTGGTGCAGATGTTTTAAAAATTAAAAGGAAAGCAAGAACAATGTTGTTTGCATTGATAGACTACTACTTTTTTCCCCCTCTTTCATTTATATTCTTTGCTCTAGAGATTAAGCATGAATGATAAGTTTAGCTCATTTTATCAGCATAACAGACCAGAGATAAATCAGGATTATGATTAGCCCAAGGTTATGGATTTAAAATCCATTTTATATAAAATCCAGTTTTCTTTACAATTGATAGTGTATCTCTCTCTATATAAACCAAGATTCAAAAGTGTAGCGTTTGGCACACTTTATCTTATTTCTATCCCTCTCTTCTATTCAGTTCAAAAACTATGGAACATAACAGTAAATAAATAAATTCCACAAGAACAGCAGAACAGAAAATCTTCACTTGTTGGGCTTGTGTGTGTGTTGTGAACTCCAATTCTGTTTGGGGAAGGAACAATGTTACGGGACCAACATTTTCTTCCTTTTAAAAAGAAACGAATTCAGTGAGAGATACTAAGGAATCGTCTTAAGGAAAACCTGCCTTTTACTTTGTTCTGCAAGAAAGCAGATGAAGCGCTTCACGTGTATTCAGCCGTACTTGTGTTTAGTCGGATTCACGTGTCTCCGGTATTGAGCCTTTAACTGGTCAATCCGGAAGACCGAGGGAAACAAAATACACCCAAAGCTACACGAAGCGACGTTTCTTCCCTTTTATCGCCCCCCCCCCCCGCCGCGATTTCTAGGCGCTACCGAACGAATTCTCAATTTTCTTCCCGCCCCCCCTCCATTTCCCTCCCAGTCCAAGAGAAAGAACACTTGATTGGCCAAGACGGGAAACCTTCTGAGGATCTGATTGGTTGGAAACTTTATTTCTCTCCCTCGCCGTATTGTACTCTTCTCCCTGCTGAATTCAAATCGCTCCTGGGATGGGAGGGAAAAAGTTGAAGGAACGGCGCGCGGTTTGGTCTGAATAGTGGTAGCTGTGCCTTTTAAAGCTTTCGCATCTGGGTACAAGGCAAATGGAGAAGGCGGAGGGGAGCAAATACGGCAGGGCACTGGGGAGTATTAGATACAACAACCCTGGTGGCGCCAAATGTTTAAACGGAGCGGCGAGATGCCTCCGCCCCCTTCTCTCAAGAGCCAATCGGAAACGAGATGGCGAAGAAGGGGGAGGAGCCCAATCCGAATGATGGAGCGCGGGGAGAATTCTCAAGTTGGAAGCGAAGGAGGAAGTTTGGTGGCGGGTGTTGAGGGCTGCTCGTCCGAAGTAGGTGAGTGGGCTCCAGGGAAGGGGACGGTACTGCAGCAGAAGATTGCTGGGCATGGCTGGCACCGAAGTCGCCTCGGCCAGATGGGCGCCGTACAAGTTTGATAAAATAAAATTAAAAACCGTTCTTGGAAGCCTGGAGAAGTTGGGTTTATTCGAGCAAGGTAGAAAGCAGCGAGAACAGAATTTGTAGTCATTTTTTAAAAAAAAAAAAAAAATCTTTATTAAATTTGAAAAAGAAACATTAAAATATAGCCAAACATATAAAGGGAAGAGAGCAACAGGACATCTTAAAAAGTGACCAAAAACCCCTCGGTATCTGTTAGAGGCACATTTGAAGGACTTGTTTTAGCTACTGCACTGGACTGTCTGATTTTTGTTACTGTAGTCTCGACCAACGTGCCTAGGTAGGAATTATAAAATCAAGCGCAACCACAAACGTATCTCAGTGTGACACTCCTCGTCCTTGAGTGTCATGAACATGAATGTAAAGCTGCACTGTGCCAGATGTAGCATCGCGCTGGAAATGTTTGTGTTATTATAAGCCCTGTAGTCTTTATTGTATTGTTAAGCTACTTGTCATACAACAGACTCAAAGCAACTTCTCTTGTACAAAAACAGACCCTTGTAAAATTTATCTCGAAAGGCAATATAACGTCTGTCTAACTAAATTTAGTTCCTCCTACGCTACACTTACAATCCTGTTTTGTACTTCTGTACTTCTATCCATTCCCTCACATCTTCTGCAAAACATGGAAAAATGATAAATACTGCTCAAAAGACAAAGTGGCCAAACACTGCTCTTTGAGAATGTTGCATTTTCTTCTAGAAAATCGTTGCTTTTATTTAGTTCCCAACTACACCCTCACACTAATACTTTTCGGTGGAAGCAACATTATGCAAAGCATAGAAAATCTTCTGCACTATGAATGTCATAGATAAAGCCCATAAATACTAACAATACTTCCATTATGGTAATGGTAAAATAAGTTTTTTACACAATGCTTTTCAGTAAGCCTGAGAAAGATAGTCCAGGATACTCAGTCACTTTGTGTGAGATGGGCAACAATAAAAAGAAATATCAGAAAGAGATACCAGCCTTTATTATGCCGATAACATAAAACATTCTGAAGTAGCAGTAAGGACAGTACTGGTCTAAAAAAGTTGATATCCTTAGTGAATTTAAATCCAGATTCCTCTCCAATTCTAATTTCTTCATTAAAAGTTCATATGTTAACTAATTTATTTCTTTTCCCCCCCAGAATGCTAAAAATGGTATCCAGCATATAAACCAACATAATGTGTAATTAAACAAATGTATCTAAAGCTGAAGCTAATAGTGGCAATATGAATAAAGAGAACAAGGTAATTTATCTAAGCCCTTTCAAACTATCTTTTGTCATCTCTTATATCTTATATTCAAATTATAGGCAAATGTTGTTTGCAAATTGCAGTAGTAAGAATACCTGAAGCAACTCCAGGGTCATTCATTGTTATGTTTTAGATATCCTGTGTTTTGATTGAGCAATATGGCTATATGTCACTCTTGACATAAAAGAAGGAGATAAGAAAATAGCTTACTAGGGTCAAACATTTTTCCTTGCCTATCTGATGTTGTCCTCTTACGTCTTTTTTTTTTTGCCCATGGCTATTTTAAGACAATTTTACAGCAATTGTGTACACTGTCAAGTATAATATGCTTCAAAGTTGCAGTACTGTCAGTTTCCCTTATGAAAAAAGGAAGTTACACTCTATATGTGCACAGAAATCAAGGCAGAGAGTTTTTTATAGGCATTGAGAAACTGTACCTCTCCCCTCACGTCATGCATGGTTGTCTCATCCCAGGAGGTGTTTCTGGAAGAAATATGCAAAGAATGACAGATATAAATGCCAAGAATATATAATCCCAGTAGGGTCACTCAATGCGTGAAGGTCACACAGCTGTCCAGCTAAAGCAAGTAGGCATCTGTATTAAGTGCAGCAATACAGAAAGCTGATTGGTTGGATGAGATGGCGGGCTTCAGGCTCCTCTTAATGCTTGTTGTCCGATTGGATCTCAGAGGTGTGCCTTCTCCATTGCTGTCTGGCCATTTGGAATAGCCTCTGTGATCCTCAGAGCCTCTATCTTTTTAGCCTTTCAGAAAGTAATTAAGACCAGGCTTTTCCCCCATCCCCCAAACCATTGGGGTAGTTTGGGATGGGTCAACATACACAGAGTTGATGGGATGTTAGAAAAACATCCTTTGTAAGAGTAATTTTGCTGTTTTATGGGTTTTGTTGTGAGCTGCCTAGGATTATTGTATATAACATAGCAATACACTTAGACTTATATAGCACTTTACAGCCTCTCTAAGCAGTTTTACAGAGTCAGCATATTGCCCCCAACAATCTGAGCCTTCATTTTACCGACCTCAGAAAGATGGAAGTCTGAGTCAACCTTGAGCTGGTGAGAATCGAACTGCTAGCAACTGGCAGTCAGCAGAAGTAGCCTGCAGTACTGCATTTTAACCACTACGCCACCACGGCTCTTATAGACACCTACATAAGTTGTATAAATTAATATAGAAATAAAACATTCCTGTATTTTACCAATTAAGGTATTTGAATAGAAAAAAAATATTAACAAGATAGTGCTGGATGAAAGGCCCCTTGAGTTAGGTGGCACTCAATCTGTGAGTGAGAAAAGCTGAGAATCTTTTAGAGTACTAATGTGTTCATGGCGTGGTTAGATTGAAGCCTTTGGAATATCTAGTTGATGTTTCCATACAAATAATTGCCATGTAATTGCATTTAAGGACAGATTTATGTATTATGTGATATATATCTATATATGGCTGGAGATAGAATTAAAAATGCGACTCTTGGGTGCATCCATATTATGTCCAAATAATCACGATCACCAAGAGTTTAGCTAAAATGTTTATAAACAATTAAAAAGTTTAAAAAACAGTTTAAAAGCAATAAAACATTTAAAATTATCGGCAACCGAGCTTTCGTCGGACTCTCCCGACATCATCAGGGTTGCTGAGGCGGTGTTTGGGAGGGTTTATATACCATTCTCACATGCCTGCATCCGGCTACGCGAGCGCGTAACCGGTCCTCGGTACACGCGCTCCTGCGCGGTGCCTGTTTTGTCTTTACCCACGTGTAAGCGTCTTGCCTTCTTTCCCTGTTTATATATATGATCTCTCTGTGTGTGTGTGTGTGTGTGTGTGGTATATATATATGATGTATTATGTGAGATATATATATATTATGTGAGATATATATAGATATAGATATATCAAATATATATTATATACATATATATATATATATTATGTGATATATATATTTGTATTCATTTTCTATATCAGTGGTGGCGAACCTATGGCATGAGTGCCAGAGGTGGCACTCGGAGCCCTCTCTGTGGGCACACATGCCTTCGCCCCAGCCCCCCTCCCCCATGGCCCCCTCCACACCAGCCCCCCCGGAGGAGAGTTGCCCCCAGGCATGGCCCGCCTGGAGCGGCGCAGCCAAGGACATGACAGTGGGGACAAGACTCCGCCCTTGCGCCCCGTCACAAACATGATCTGGAGGGCATGGCCGCCTTGGCGCTACTGGGCCACCATGGCGATCTGCGGTGGGCCATGGAGGTGGTGGGTGGCCCTGCAGGTGGGTGGGGGCAGTGTGGAGGTGGGGCAGTTTTTGGGCACTCAATGTCTAAAAGGTTCACCATCACTGTTCTATACCATAGAACTCAATTTTGTTTGATTGAAATATTTAATAAATATAGTAACTATGCTACAATATTGTTTGCAATATTTGTAATGAGGAAAAGAGTGACATCAGTAATTTCTGATTAATTTAAGTCTTTCAAAGAGTTACATTGGAGTATAATATTGCCTAGCCAATTGAACTGAATGATGTCAGATATTCCAAATTGGTCCCATGCCTCTAACAAACACTGTGTTACTGTTCAGACAAAAGATGAATATAGAAACACCATGTCCTCTTGTAACAGTTTATATAACTGCATTATGTATCAGTACACTAATTCATTATCATTCTAAAAAATATAAAACATTACATTTTCAACAGGAGTACCCTGTAATCTGTTTTGCATTTCCCTATAGAACACTGGCTGCATTCACGTATAACATTAATCCAGGAATGTTTAGGATAGGGTATGCAGTGAAAAGCTAGGTCCCATTGGGACTGTTTGTATATTACTTTAAGCCAAAAAAAGCTTGATTAAAAATATATATTTGATTCTTGTATCATCTTTGGGCATCTTTCGTTCTGATAAATGCTCAGGGTGACAAAGAAAATAGGCTAGGTATTTTAAATAAAAATGAGTTCTGTAAAATCCAGCAGAAATAAGTATCAGTTTTGGCCAAAAATACAGTAAGGTCAATTTTGGCAACAAGGGTGTTTTTAAATATTACGATCAGGCTTTGAGTCAACATTTTAATGTTCAGTATTGTTCCATTTTTGAGACACATTTTTTTTCTTTCTTGGCTCAGGAAAATCAATGTTTTGAAGTGCGTGAAAGCCCAGTCAAAACACCTCTAAAACAAAAGGCTGCCCCCAATTTGCTTTTGGCAGAGATCCAGCCTGCTGCTTCTGACCATCTGACAACACCACCAAAGCCCAATGAAAGTACTTCTGGTGATCCATGGACCCCAACCGCTAACCTTAAAATGCTGATTAATGCAGCTAGTCCTGAGATTAGAAATCGAGAACAGGGAAAAAAATGGTCCGATAATAAAAGCGAAGGCCTTGAGGTAAAACATTTTTATTGTTTCATTTTGCCATGCTCGTAGTGGTAGTTGCTTCAACAGTGAGATGAGCGGCATATGAATTAAATAAATAAATATGCTTGTTATACATATAAAAACAAGACTAAATTATATATATGTATTTGAAACGTACATTGCTTGACATTGTATTAATCAATTCTCCTGTGTTAGAGCTTTTTCCCCCCCTTTTTTTTTCTCTGCAGGATCATTTGTCAGGAGAAGAATATGAAAAGTCTCAACCAAGCCGTAAAGAGAAAAGCCTTGGATTGCTATGTCATAAATTCTTAGCTCGCTATTCCAGTTACCCCAATTTTTCTAAAAACAACGAAATATGTCTTGATCAGGTAGCAGAAGATCTAAGTAAGTTTGAGCATTGTGTCATCTTTTATTTTTTTTCTGGCCAAATCTTATGGCTACTAAAAAGGTGCATATGGATGTGCAAAATTTATCAGTTCAAGAATAAAAAGTTCTACTCCTCTCCATATTTGCAGAATCTCTCTCCAACCATGCTGTTCTGGAGTAGTTTACAGTTTTTGAACATAAATCCTCTGAATTGGCAGCAATTGGAGTAGTCCTAAACAAGGTTATTTTGTTCATAGCATCATGTCTGGAGTTTCTCAAACCCCTTTTGCTTTGGAGGATTTACATTCCAAATATCTATTTTATATTCTTTATATTTATTTCAAATGGTAATAATATTACTGTGTTTTGTATTATTTGTTTGTTCATTTTCTATAGCAGCTCATCTCGGTCAATGACTCTGGAAGGCTTACAGTTCATAACATACATTATAATTAATTAAAAAAACATTTTAAACCAGTAAAACAGTAAAAAAAAATTAAAAATATCCAATTCAAGATACACAAGAGCAAGGTATTTGGCCTGTTAGCAATATAGCCAGGCCTTTGGCACATTCAACGCCCCAAGCTCAGGAGTCTTGTTATACATTATACATGCTTAGTGCTAGAAATACATTACTTGTTTTAATTAAAATATAAATCTCTAAAATATATATCTCTAAAGAATTATCACTTGCTAAATGCAGAGTTGTGAAAATATAATTGGCTTTTCAAACCACAAAACAGCTAGATGTTTTGTTCTCTGATATCTTAAAATTCAATAATCATTTTTCCCCTTTCAGTTTGTTTTCTTATGCATATTAAAAAGGCCCAAAATACAAGAGTTTTGGAAACTAGTGTACATCAATAAATTTTGTAAAAACCACATAACTAGAAAGTATCAAACTAAACAGATTAAAAAAATCTTCCTAGAAAATCTAGAACAGGGGCCCCAAATTTTTCAGCTCATTGACCCTTTTGTGAAGTTTCAAATTATTCCTTAACACCCAAATATGTGTTATATGAGAATAATTTAATAAATACTATTTTAACAAATAGCACTATGAAAAATAATAAAATAGAGACAACTCGAGGCTACTGCGCTGAAGGCTGTCAATCCTCCCAGGTAAACAGATAGGAAACACAACCAGATGAATTAATTCTATTTTATTATAAAGCTACACTAACAGATTCTTGCAAGTCTCAAAGTACAAACTTTCCACCACCACTTTTAACCACCTGATTAATGAGAGTAGGGCCTACCTAAATTTCTTTCTCTGACCATTAATCCATTGGGGGCCTCTCCCTCTCTTATCTAGTTTCCTAGGCAGCATCTTTTCTCATCCCTTGAGGTCATCCATACAGTCCATTACAGCAGTTGATCACCCAATCCTGGGTAACACTGTTTTACCACTAGCCATCTTCAGGACTAGGGACTAGCATGGACCTGTACAGAGACCCTAAAAGATTAATTGACCCCTATCGATCTTCCATTATTTATCAACCACCTATTAACCCACCCATCCCTAGACAGATTCCCTTTTGACCGCTAACTATCAACCTCTTAGATAATTCCATTGACACTTGGGGATAATATTTGCTGGTTTGAGGAACTCTGATTTTTTTTGGGGGGGGGATTACAGAGATGTCTTTAAAAGCATATTATTTTATAGCCCAATTTATCAGCCCCAACCCCATCTGGATGGTTTTAAAGAGACTTATGTTTATATTAACAGAACAAGATAGAAGCTACTGGGAGCCAATAAAATAATATTCATGTATTCTACCAGTCAAGGAAAAATCGTTTTCAGGCTTCGATAATCAATGTATAAAGATCAAATATTTTTTTTTTAAAAAGTCTAGCACATATAAAGTTGGCAGTAGGACCAATGCCTAAATACTTTCCTATTCTGGAATAATATCTGATTAGCACTTCTAGTTATTATAATGTATCACTTCCTTTGCTTCCTGAAAAATAACTTACATTCAAATTGTGTTGTTAATAATATTTATAGTTATATTTTATATAACCTTTTTACGACTCTGTAATCCCTTGGTTCGGGGGGGGGGAGTGTCGGGATGATTGGGTGGAGCTGAGTGTTTACTGACTGGATGCCAGTTCATAGAGGATAGTTTTTCTCTGCACTCTAGGAAAGAAATATCTGCTGCTACCTTTGATTATATTTTTCTATAATTGACGTCCTGTCATTAATTTTGACTGTTAAAGTATTTCAGTGCATGCTTTAGGAAACTGATAAGATTGAAAAAGAAACTGTAAAATAATTTGTGATGTTTCCATCATTACAGATATTGAGCGCAGGCGAATCTATGACATAATGAATGTATTAGAAAGTCTTCACATGGTGAGCCGATTTGCCAAAAACAGGTATTCCTGGCATGGGCGTCATAATCTTAAAAAAACACTGCAGGCTTTGAAAAAAGTAGCTGAGGAAAGCAAGTACTCGGAACAAATCGAACTGACTAAAAAAGGAAAAAATAGGCAAGAGGATGAAAACACTGGCCAGAATATTGAATGGATGCCAAAGCACGCTAGGTCAAATTATCACACAGATTTTGTGGAACTTCCTGGGATGGAACTTCAAGCAGGTAATTCTAAGAAAGGCATGTTTATAGACGGAGATGTCCTATGATTCCATTTTTGCTAAAATGCAGGAGTATAATCCATTAGTTAGATTAACTATTTTTAAAAGCGGTGCTTAGAAAAATTGAAGATTGAAAAACTAATCTAAAAGGTATTAACCTTCTCTTTGAGCCTTTTCTAAAATCACATCTGGAATGGTGTGTGATATCATACCAGAATCAGCTAGGAATGGAATCGGAGATAGATATTGTAAAATCTATAAATAATCTTGCTGAAAACAAATGCAAATAATCGTCCTTTAGGAACCACAAATTGGTTGCTAACTGAACAGTCATCTGACCACAACTGCTTTTGATTTTACTTCAGCTTTCCTTTGCTTTAAAGCAATGTTTCTCAACCTCAGCCACTTGAAGATGTGTGGACTTCAACTCCCAGAATTCCACAGCTAGCACAACCACTATAGCTGGCTGTGGAATTCTGGGAGTCGAAGTCCATACATCTTTAAGTAGCCCAGGTTGAGAAACACTGCTTTAAAGCCTCAGAAGGATATGAGCCAGGAAAGTGGGGAAAGTTTCTGAAACTTGACTCTTGAGGAAGCTGAGTAAAAGGGGAAATCTTATACTCTATTCCCCATTTTTTGGAGTACTCATTTTGACCTTGTGATAATTAATAAGAAAGGAATTGATATTTGTGTTTACATTCATTGGAGGAGAAGAGATTACAAGAGAGTAAGTAGGTACACAGTAGAGAAGAAACATCAAAAGGAATGCACTAACATCAGAGGTTTCCCAAGTGTGCCCGTTGTAAACAGCTTAGGAAGCAAACAAAAACTGATTAAAGTCTTGTCAATATCAGGCAGCAGTGTCAGAGAGCCCGAGGTTTCTAATCAGCTAAGTTCACAGAGCTAAGCTTGTTAACTTGTGGTTACTACTTTGTAGGGATGCACTGTGCTGTGAAGAAAAGCAGCTAGGAAGAGAGAACCTGTTTAGGCAATCTTTCCTCTCTCTGAGGGGGGTCATAAAGACAGGTATTGATCACAAAGTTATTTTTTTATCGCCATCATAAGTGCAAATGGTCACTATCTGAGGCAGTCTCAAAATGAGTACCTGTACGTAATTTATTGATGCAAATATCAACAATTAATTGATAAACTAAAACCTATCCAGTAATTAACCAAAATCAGATCCTAGTGAAATATGCCATCTTCCAATTATTAGGTGATTTGGATTTACTTCTATATTTGGTTGTTGTCTCTTTTCTTTGTACAGCTTCAGTAACTAGTCGTAAAGACAAGTCTTTAAGAGTGATGAGCCAGAAATTTGTAATGTTGTTTCTTGTGTCATATCCCCAAGTTGTGAGCCTTGAAGTTGCTGCTAAAAGTTTGATTGGCGAAGACCATTGTGAATCACTGGATAAAAGCAAGTTTAAAAGTAAGTGGTAAAAAGTCCTATCTCGTGTGCTTGATTTAGTTTATGTGATGAAAAAAGTTACGGTGAGCCATAAGCTTATAAATATTAACTTCCTTGCCTATCAGGAAGTTAACTGATCCCATTGCTACCTGAAAAGCTGGCCAGAATTTTGTTGCCCAATTTCAATGGCAGGGTGCTAAGGGGCTGTATATGCATTATGTACTGCCATGGTAAAACTGCATACGGATGATGGCGACATATGGATTGTGGACTGCTATGATAAACCATGGTTTTACATGAAACATTGGCTGCATCCTCACAACATGCTTAGGTTAAAAAAAACCCCAATGAACTATATTATGAGATGTGTGACTACAGTCAATGTGATGAGAGTAATTGTACTGCTCAGAAAGCCTTCATTTTAAAAATGCATCTCTCTTTGGGGTTTAAATTATCCATTATTATCTCTAAGAAATCTTTTCTTACAGACTGGATGAAACCCTAATAAAATTGCCTGGAAAAATCTAATGTTCATTTTACGGCAACCACCTGCTCTCCTCTATTCAGTTTGTTCGCCCATCATGCTCTTTTTTTCAAGCAGCAGAAATGATACTAAACCATCTCATCTTTGTGATAGACTGCTAGGATAATTGATCAAAATCTCTGACAACACTCCATAGCACTTCTGACTGACTGACATAAGTGTTCAGGCCACCGTAACAAGCATTTGATTGGTTATTAAAGTTGCTTCCCTTAGCTTCAAAGAGGAAAGCTTTCCCACAGTACGTTTATTGCTCTGCTCTGTTCTTTTTGATTCCTGGTTTTTAAAAACTTTCACTCCTCCTCTTAATTTTCACTGAATAAAACAAAAATGTTGTTGGGCCTCTGTTGCTGTAAAAGGCATCCAAATCATTATAACGTGAATTGAGAGTGATCTTTCAAAGGCCATTCCTGGGAAGAAGGTTTAGGATCCATATTTCTATAACCTGCATTGAATAATTTTAATTCTCAGTTTTAGATTAGAATAATAATTGTAATTCTGTTTCCAAATCACTGCATTAAATATTTCTCCAAAGGAAAACAAAAGCAATTGTGTTTTAAGAATACTAAATATGGGGTTTGGAAGAATGCAAAACGTTGACTGTCCACCCTGGCCTGTTTATATGCCTTGTGTCAAAGATCCCTCAAAACTGAAATGTTCCTGTTGTATCTATATTTAGAACAACGTAGCAGAAAGGGGAGCAAAGACTCTAGCGTTAACAATTTTGAATTTCTGTTTTTATATTTTTCATTAGCTTTTTAACTTATTTCAGCTAAAATTCGAAGACTATATGATATTGCTAATGTTCTCAGTAGCCTTGAGCTCATCAAGAAGGTTCATATTGTAGAAGAGAAGGGCCGCAGACCAGCATTTAAATGGATAGGACCAAATGTTTTTTCTGATATTAAAGGTAGGTGCATTATTACTTTTGAACAAGACGTAGAGTATTTTTGAGCTACAACTAGATTTAATATTAACTTCTGCTCACTTGTACTACTCCCAACCAGTAAAAGCCGTATCAGAGTTAAGATGGTTAATTTCTCCTTGGGGTCACTATATTAACATAATATATCAGCATGTATATTCATAATTAGAGGACTAATTACTCATTTTAACATAAATATTTAGAAGTGATAACTGTCAAAACCAAGAATATAAAAATAGTATATTAATGTTAGAATTCTCTGTAGATTGTATTATAGATACCCAGCCAAAATTGGATGCAATGCCACTTGCTGTGGAAGATAAATCTTTTAAAGAGCGTTGTTCTAAGAATCTCTTCCCTAATAATAGCAAACAATTTTTCACACGGCATCCGTCTTTGATAAAACTGGCAAAGAGTAAAGAAAATGATTTGAGAAAGAGTCATTCGGCTCCAGGCAGCCCTGTCAAAAAACATTCAGGTATGTAGGATATAAAATGTTTCATATAGTTCTGGGAAAAAATATTAAAATAATGAATGGTGGTATTTGTTCTTAATTTCTTACTGTAGAATACAAAATGTGTAAATATGGTTCATAAGCAGAGGATGCTATCTCCAAGTCTGTTTTTTTTTATTTTTGAGCAGTTTTTCTGACTACAGGTAGTCCTTGACTTACAACAGTTCATTTAGTGACCATTTGAAATTACAACATCACTGAAAATGTGACTTATGACCGTTTTTCATAGTTACAACCTTTACGGCATCCCCATGAACATGTGATCAAAATTCAGATGCTTGGCAATTGGTTCATTTGAATAGAATAGAGCTGGAAGGGACTTTAGAGGTCTTCTAGTCCAGCCCCTTGCTCAAGCAGGAGAACCTATACCATTCCTGACAAGTGACTGTCCATCTCTTCTTAAAAACCTCCAGTGATGGAGCACCCACGACTTCTGAAGGCAAGCTGTTCCACTTGTTAATTGCCCTCACTGTTCGGAAGTTTCTCCTTAATTCCAAGTTTCTTCTCTCTTTGATCAGTTTCCAACCATTATTTCTTGTTTTGCCCTCTGGTGCTTTGGTGAATAGTTTGACCCCGTCTTCTTTGTGGCAGCCCCTCTAGTACTGGAATACTGCTATCATGTCACCCCTGTTCTTCATATATTTTAGTCTGTAGGCCTTTGATCATCTTAGTTGTTCTTCTCTGAACTTTTTCCAAGGTATCAACATCTTTTTTGTGATAAGGTGACCAAAATTGGCTGCAGTATTCCAGGTGAATGGTCTTACTAGGGTTTTATAAAGCGGTACTAATACTTTGCATGATCTTGATTCTATGCCTTTGTTTATACAACCCAGGATTGTATTAGCTTTTTTGGCGGCTGCTGCACACTGCTGGCTCATAGTCAAGTGATCGTCCACTAGGACTCCAACTCTCACAGTTACTGTTTTTAAGCCAGGTCTCAACCAATCTGTACTTAAACATATTCATGAACTTTGCTGTATACCAGGGTTATGAAATCCCCTTTTGCAACCTTCTGACAAGCAAAGTCAATGGGGAAGTTGTAAAATGGGGCAAAATTCACTTAACAACAGAAATGTGGGACACAATTGTGATCGTAAGTTGAGGAATTCCTGCACTTGTTTTATGAGAATGAAATATATATGTACGTGTTCCTCTTGGAGGTTTGGAAAAACTAGAACGTAAAATAAATTGATAATAAGAAGAAACATGTAACATCTCTCTGTCATCTTATCTCTTCGTGGAACAAGCTGTGTCAAGGATACTAATTTAGATCACAAGAAAAGGCCAGAAGCCAAACCATGTAAGCACTATCAGTGATGGACTTTAGAAGGAGGTTCAGTTGGATCTAAATCTTAAATAATATGCAAGTTAAATGCTTCTATTTCTTTTCTTATAAAGACTCAAATCGTTCAGCTTTTCCAAGCAAGATGGCTCAACTTGCAGCAATATGCAAGCAACAATTAGATGAACAATCAAGGTATATTTCTACATAAGGCATGGTGGTTGCTAATTAATGTTGAAATTAAATAAATAAATAAATCTGTTGAAATCAGCAATTTATAGCTGCTGTTTATACCAACACTTAACATAATTATGACATAGTAATATCACCACAGCTTCTAAAATCTGAAGTCTATTGACTTTTTTACTTACTATTTACTTTGACTTACACTTCATAATGTAGTTATTGAAAATATTAAAAATATATAAATATATTATATATGTGTGTAGGGGGTGTTATTTTCCAGATAAAAAGATTTTATTGTCTTGTGCTACCTATCAGGAGAGAAAATTTGGATTAAAGACTTAACACTGAATTCATTTTTTTAGGGAATGTAAAAAGGTAAAAAAGAAATTGGAAGACACTTCGCCTTCTGAATCTCATCGGAAGCCCAAAGCAGTCTTGTTACCTTCTCAAGCTACGATCTTATCCCCGACCTCCAACTCAATACTTCCCCCTGTCTTTTCTACTCTGCCACCTACAGCATATCTGAATCCGTCCCAAGTACAGATAGTGACCACATATCCAAGTTACATGGTATATCCTGTTTCTGCTACTAATGTGACCAAAATTAAGACTCCTGTGGAAACTCTCGCTGAAACATTTACTAAAGACAGTTTTAACGATTGGAAAAAAGCTGAAGAGCTGCAACTCTGGCTAACTAAGGAACCCAGTGGAACAACAGATGATTTGATATCTGGGAAATGTTTTAAAAGATCTAACCTTCTACTAGAGGATAGTCCAAATAAAAAATATAAGAGTGAAAAGATGGAACTTCAAGATTCACTACCGGTAAGCTATCTTTAAGTGTAATTGTTCCACGTATTAAATAATTTTCCATTGCAGAAAAACCTAACAACATTTCACAAGTCATTCTTAAATTACATAGGATACTACAGAAAGCCCAGGAGAAAGTATTTAATAAATGCAGCTACTCCAATGCCTTTCCTTTGCATTAATTTTTCTTACCCATGAAAGCAGCTTTTTTTTTTAGTGGTAAATCAACCAAAATATTATATATTTAAAACATACCAAAGCTCTCTAAAGCAGAATTCTAAATTCCTAT